CACCCACGCCTTCTATTTCCACAACTAACACCACTCTCACTCTTCAAAACCTCACCAATATTTTTGAATCATTTGATCCTGATTCCTCTCACCCTAACAATGATGTCATCATCACCTATAGTTCCAGAGATTCTAATGAAACCATTTCTGATGAAAATGGTGCTGATAAAGAAACCAATTATGTTCATCATACCTCTGTTACTTAACCTCTTAGATTTAGCCTTGATGAAGTAATTTCTAAATTTAAGGACAATTCAATAAGGAGAGTGAATAAGCTCTATAAGGATTCTACCTCCAACAATGATTCTTCTTTTGTGAATGTTAGTTGGAATAGGTTTAACAGATGGATGGTTGTTGAGGTTCTCAGAATCAGAAATATTTCATTATAGAGTAAACATAAATTTGTGAAGGAAGCTAAAGAAAGCTATATGGCTGAAGAAGCTCAGAAGGCTGTTGAAAGAGAGGCTACGGAAAAAGAGGATGCTGAAAGAGAGGCCGCTGAGAAAGCTATCGCTGAAAAAGCAGCTGAGGAAGCTGCTAGAATCGCAGCTGAGAAGGAAATCGAAGGGACTTATAAGGATTCAGAGAAATATGAAAAAAAAATTGCTGGTAAAGACTCTTGAGGACATGCAGAAAGAACAATAGTTGGTTAGAACTAGGCTTGACAAACAAGATGAAGTCAACAACAACATTCAGAGCATGCTAGCCAAACTCCTCGCTCAGAAAACCTCAACGTCTTCTAACCCTTAGAGACTTTAGGTTGTCTTTTAAATATTTCTTTAAAATTATTTTGTTATGTTTTCTATCTTGTATTGTTTATATTTCATCAAATGAATGCCTCTTTGCTTTAAAAATTGTCTCTGGAATTAGAGAAAGTGTGTTAATTATGTTTTTTTTTCTCACACTTAATGTTTATAACTTATTTTTTGAAAAATCTATTTGATTATGACAAAAAAGGGGAGAAAGATAGTGATGATTTTGATATATCTAATTCTCTAAATCTCATTGCTTACATTCTAACAAAATATATATATGCAAGATTGTGTTTAGAATGTTGTTTCGGGAACATGTTAATGAGCAAATGAATCTAGCCCAGAAATAGAACTTCTAATGTTTAGAAGGTTTTGATAAATCAAGCTCTAATAAGCATTAAAGAGAATCTTATGCTTTAATCAGGCTCAGGTAAGATAACAATGCTCAGATATCCCTGACACTTCTAAAGATTGTTAAGTTTTTAACTCAGGGGGGGGGGGGACTGTTTGTCTTAGGGGGAGTTTTCTATCTTAAACTCTGATAAATTTTTTATGATATAACCTTTTAAAATTTGTTTCATCAAAATACATGGTTTTGTCATCATCAAAAATGGGGAGAGTGTTAAAACAAGATATGGATTTGTATTTAAATTTCTGGTTTTGATGATAATAACACGTATATTTTTTATGTAACAATTTTGTTATCTAATGATTTCTTGAGTGTGCAGATATTAATATTCTATTTGGGTCTGGATAAGATCATAAGAATCTCTTCTGACACGTCTCAGATAGTACTATTGTATCCACTTCTAAAAGAAACATCAATAGTTCTGAAGAATGTTGAATGTTCGCTAGAAAAGGATCTCCTAATGTTGATCAGATATCAAGTAAAGATCAGATATCAAGCTTATGCTTTAAAAATCAGAAATCAAGCTTATGCTTTAAAGATCAGAAAATTGCTCATGCGTCAAAGCTCATAAATTAAGATGATGTGCTTCTCATATAAGCTTTTGCTTCCAGCCCAGAAATCAAGATTTATTTGTCAGATAAGTTGTTGCTCCAAGTCAGAAGACAAGGTTCTAATTCTGAAGACTTTAATACTTTTGGGAATATTACAAAGAAACGTCTTCTGGATTATTTATCATTTCTTATCAAAAATACTATATCAGAAGATTGAGAATAAAATGTGATCTCTTCTGCATTCTATTCACTATTTCAGATTAGAAATATCTCATCAGAAGAAGAAAAGATCATAAACTTGCACAAGAATAATATAGTACAATAGTATTGTACCTATTTCACAATGGTGAAGACTACATTGTACGGCCAAAGGAATTTGTTTCCCACGATTTGATGTTGCTGTTGTAGCCGTTGGCAAATAAAAATGACGTTTTGTACTATCCAACAGTCTACTTTCTTAGCCTATATAAAGCGATCTATCTCATTAAAGAAGAGAAATGAACAAGAACGAATATAAACAAAAGAGAATAAATATTGAAACATAAAAAAACTATTGTTCAAAGAAATTCAATAGAGAAAACATTTAAGAGAAATTCAAAACACAAAGAGTTGTTGCTCATATTTGTGTTAACTTTTACTCTTCATAACACAAGAGTTGTTTTTCATTATTGTGTTATTATCATTGCTTTATACACAAGAGTTGTTGCTCATATTTTTGTATAAATATTTGTTCTTCATTGTAGTGTTAAATCTGCTTTTTAGAAGCACTATTGTTAACATTGTTTGATTGTAAATCTTTCAAGATTTGTTTTTCTCAAGTGACTAAGTTGTAGTATATATACTTGAGAGGACTAAGGTGTTTTCTAAACTCTTAGACGTTGTTTGTAATCTTTCAAGATTAGTGGATTAAGTCATTTTTGAAGGCAAAATCACTTTGGCGGGTGGACAAGAGTAGCCTTGTTTAAGGTAAACTTGTATAAACACAATTCTTTCTAGCTTGTTTATCATTGATTGTTTGTGATAAGCATTTCTAAAAGAATAAAGTTTTTGAAAACTCAATTCAAACTCTCCTTTTCTTGTATTTTTCTCAACCTTCATAAAGATGTGACAGAATATTTCAATGACTCGCAGCTTGATGTTGGGAATCGGGTAGTGCTTAGGCTATTTTGCACAATGCCAATAGGGTATTGAGAAAGAGACATAAGGATGGTTCTTTGGCTACACTCATAGTATATTTCTTGAATTCTTTTAACATGGTAGACTTATAGGCCTTACTACACGAGATTAGGTTGAGATGTCCATCTATTTTTTGATGAGTTGAGTTTCGTTATAGTCAGATAGCAAGGTTGTACCTTGGAGATGGATATATTATGTGCAGCAAGACGATCCATTTGGGCTTCTCACTTTCTCTCGTGTGTTGAATTCTCTTATTCATAAGAACGGGGAGAATTGCAAACTTCTTCTTCATTCATGGCATCTTGATGATCAGACTATCATAAGGGATTCATATGAGGTGTTTAAAGTCCTTGACATTATTGGGGAGACAAATCTAATATTGATCCTTGAATTGAATGTTCATAAGACTGGAATTTTTTTGCCTTCTAGTAATGACAATAAACTTAGTAGGAACAAGGGTTGTTCCCTTCGATATTAGGAGGTTGGTGTTGGGGATGAAGTTTCGTAAAGCGGAAGTTAGTCAAGAGAGATATTTTATCAAAGGGGTTGTTCATGAAGAGAGTTTTAATGAATGTTAAATTAATGCATCTTATCTCACAATTAAGGAATCCATATATTGAGTTTCTTCTACTTAGATCATACATTGGTATCGTCGAACTTTTTTTGGCTAAGAACGTCGCAACCGATTCACATGGAGGAAATATTTATTTGGTTTTATAAAGAGTTTCTAATGACAGTTAAATACATCGTGGTTGGTGAAGGCCCTTTCTTCGGGGACCTTTAATGTATGGTGACATCTTTACCTATTAGAGTTTGGGGATTGAGTTTGTACTCGACAGTAGATGTAACCTTGTATGTTTTTCTGACTTCTAAGGCCCAATAGTAGATGTTATAAGATGATATATTGAGAGACCGTGAGATATATGGCATCGGCTCTCATTTTGACAGAGTAACGTATGATCTTAAAGGTGTGATTCAAGATTTTTACCATAGTAGCTTTACTAACAAGTACATCGTCCTCCCTAATGCCTAACATGTTTTGGTGAGTGCTTTTTTTAGTAAAAATGTCTAGGACATGAATGTAAAATTTGACATGACCATAAGGCAAAAAATAGTTTTTGGTTGTTTGCAAGCAACACATGCTCGAAATTTTCTCTTAACTATTCCTATTGATGGACTAGACATGCATATGTCATCGATAAAGTATCATTTTATCCTTATATATCACCTTATGATTTTCTTATTTCCTATTGATGAGGTTTGTCATATTGTCGTAAGGTGTGCTTGAATACATTTGAGGGACATACGCAGTTCATTATAGGGAGCTCCCAGGTTCCAAATACTGGCATGACTTTATTAGGGTGTTTTGTTTGATATATTTCAGTGGGTGGAAGTGTATGTGAAGAAAAATGTCCGTGTGAATTTCTTGAACGACCCATAGAAAGAGAGATCGACACTTAAGCCAACTGATGTTTTAGTGTACAAGTGAGTAAGGGAGAAACATATGTGTGTGGCCTTGATTAGGGTTTCTCCACTTAAGGGACTGACAGGTGGAGGTTTTATTGTGGAATAGATAGACCTCAAAGTCACTTCAAAGAAAGTGGTCTAACATGAGAACGTGTGTTATGACAATTAACGTGTTATATATCATTTACGTTTGACATTTTTAGTCTCCTAACACCAAAAACATGAATCTTTTACCGAGACTCCAAAGACTCGTACATAACAATGTTATGTCTCCTAGGACTATATACATAGTTTTTATGATTGGTATTACAAAAAAAAAAAAAGGTAAGGACTTGCCTTCCATTTCTCAATAAATTTTGTTATCAATCTATAATTACTTACTGTTTTATTGAACAAACCAAAATTAAATAAAGTTATCGCCTATTTAGATTGATATAAGAATTAAAAAGGGCACACAAGAGCAAGAACAAACTTAAGCCTGGACAAATTTCATGTACATGCTCTTGAATCACAGATTCTTGGAAGTGGCATTGTGAAAGAAGAAAATAAAATAAAAAATAACTGTGATTTTCTTAATCCCTTTCTCCTTCTAAATCAACCTCAAACTATGTGAGATATTAACTCCAAAGAGGTTCAGATGAGAGGCTAATTTATATCTGCTGATGAAGTCTGCGTTGGTTGAATAATTAGTTCCCAAATCTGCAAAAACACACAACCTTTGTAAATTCCTTTTAAAAGAATGTCAAAGTTTCCAACAGTGTATATATTGGAAAAACCTCAAAGTCTCACATTGATAAGAAATAGAGCTTGGAAAAATTTTATATAGATTAACACCTCTCATCTTACAAGTCGGTTTTAAAGTTGCATACCACAATGAATAATGCGGAAAAAGTGTCAACAAATTATGGAGATAGAGATAAAAAACATGAAATTAGCGTTATTAAGTTGAAATGAGAAGTACACACCAGATCAGTACAGATCAATGTTTGCGCAACATGGCAAGAACTTCTGCAATCGTAATCTTGTGACATCTATCCAAAAATGTAGCTCAACAATCTATGAACAAACACAATTCACACGCATTCTCCTGTAGACATAAATGTCACAAGATAAGCTTTAACAACATTAAATTTGTCTTGGAAAAAATAGTCACTGGCTATGAGAATAGGAGAAGGGTTCAGAAGATGTGACGCAAGTAATGTAATCTTACAATCAAATGTTGTCCAGCTAGGAGGTGTAGTTGAGGTATTATGTTTATCGTCGTGGATGGAAAGCAAGTTTAAAAGATCGATGGTACCGTTGCTATTTCCAATGACGTTATCAAAATCAAGTGATGCTGATGCCCTCTTGATCGGTGGTGATATCTTCATCGGTAAATTTAAGGGGGCCTGAAATTGGTGTTTTAGTTTTTGACAACACTTTGTACTAAAAAAGAGTATTGCAGAACAATAGCAATTTGTTCACATTCCACTGTGACATTACGATATAGCGATGCTATTTGACAACACTGATGAATACCTCGTGAAACTTCCCTATTGGAGGCCGAATTTGTGCCACGTGATTCACTAGAATGCTTTCCTCGAGAGACAATCTCCTGTTTTTCTGAACACCATTCTTGGCCGCCGCAGCTGGTAACTCTTTGATCTCAAAGAAGATTTCAGTTGACTTTGGAGCTGATGGTAGTTCACCTTGCAAAGCCCATCTTTTCTCCACATACCTATAAGGAACTTAAGCGACTTAGCAATGGTAGAAGACAGAAAAATATATGAAAACTTATCTCAATGTAACTAGCATAGTTCTAAATTGTGGTCTGCAACTAAAGGTTCTAGTCTTTTAGAGGTCTTTGCAGTAAGTTCACAATTGCAAGTGCACCTACATTTTGCTGCAATATCAAAGTTTGCAATGTAACCTCAATTGCAATTTAGAACCATATATTCGTGTATAAGAATTCATTAACAGTTTACTTGGCACGGATAAACTTCTCGATTCCATATCCATTTCTGTCAAAATCTGGTGCTAGTTTAGCCTCCCAGTGCTTATTTGACTTCACATTACCCATAACTGCATAAAAAAACCGTTGTATCTCATAGTTTTGTCAATAATAGATTTCACAAAGTAATTAAGAAATAGATTGTATAGTTACTTACATTGCATGAAAGAAACTTGATCTGGCAGCCATGTATCCAAAGTAGTGGACCTCACCTAGTTGCAAAATCAGAAGGTTCAGCTATTATCGATTTCTAAACTGCGAAAAAATGAAGGAAAAAATGTATAGAAACCTTTGATACATGCACTCCAAGACTCCGGTGAATCCCTGAACACTGCATGCAAATGAAAATTCCTAAGTTCACACTAGCCCATCGCGGAGCCCTGAAATATTAAAATTCATACACCACGAAAAAAAACTCGTTAAGTTCTATTTTTTTTAAAAGGCAAGATCAAATGCTAAATTTTTGCTGCAACCAACAACGAAGCATAAGGATATTGTTGAAATATTAAATGTGACTGTGTTGCTCTACTTCGTAAGACAAAAACTTTTAAGTATATACTATATGTCATAATCCTAAGTAAATTATCATTGTTGAAGCATCCTCAAAATCAGATGATAGGAACATAAGCAAAGTGAATGAAAAAGAAAAAACTTAGAAGTGAGTGAAACACTTTTAAAGAGCTGGAAGTGCTCAGTGCCGTGGTAATCAGATCGAGATTCAAATCATGAATCAGAAGAGCTTTCTCAGAAACATGAAACAAATCTTATCATTAATAGTAAGATTCATTGTCAATAAAAATATTTCTCTTTAAGTTTAAAAAAACTAGTGACACAACAAACTATAAGTTCATGTATCATATATGGACATCTAAATAATCCAAGATTCAAGTCATGTATCAAGTGACCAAAAATAATTTGTTTGTTATTTAGTTATACTAAGTTGACAAAAAAGTAGTTGGATGTACTAAGATTAATTAGTGATTTATTACAATGTATCAGAATTCAAGATGAGATCCTTATCCTAACAGATAGGGTGGTAAATCGGGAGGTGGGTCATGGTTTTAAGTCTGCACCCTCTAATATGTTCGCCCCGCCTCGTCCTATTTTTTTGTGGGTGGACTATTGCGGACATGGGTATTAACAAGAATTTTTATAGTTTTTAGCCTTTATGAGTGCAATGTCCACTCCACCCTCATTTTTTCGCTGAGCATATAAGGTTTTAGGTTTGCACCCTCAACTATGTTCGTCACGTCCTGTTTTTTTGTGGACTTTTACGGACGAACATGCTCGTTTGCCATCCCTAGATAACACTAGAGATTTGTATCAATTGAGTTGAAAGTATTGAATTGAGGTAGGACTCGCATGTTTTGTAAGATACCGATAACCATGCTCAGCACATATAAGGTGCACAATTAGTATGCGCATTGGTACAAATAACAGAAGTACTAAAAATAGGATCGTAGTAAGAAAAATAACCTATTGAATGAACTATGGAAAAAAAGTAAAACATCAATGTAAAATAATGGGTTGTGAAAATTGTATACTTGGTCCAACAGTCTGCACATTCCTTATTGTCAGGTAGCTTAAGAAGTCCCTCTAAGATCTGCATAAACACACACAAACTTAACTCCTTTCTGTTTTATAAATATCACAGCAATCAGTTTCTTGAATAGCAAGAAATACAAGTCCAAATATGGAAGAATCCGTTTGTTGTAAATAAAGTAAAATAATTAGATATTGTGAGAGAAAGAATGAAAAGGCAAGACAAAAGAACCTTGGAGTGTTTGGCATGAAGCTCCTTAGAAACGGAAGCTTTCCCGTTCATGTTTGGTGCAAAACCTTCGCTGCTAACGAGACACGATATGACAGCGAAGGAAGAGCAAACAGGAAGGTGAAAAGATGGAGTTTTAGTGAGTTTTGATTTGGTGGGTGGAACCGATAATAATTGAGAGGGGAAGCGTGGTTGGCGATGGCGAAAGAGACAAAACCGGGAATCCCATTCATTCTTTCTTTCGCATACTCTCTATCTTTGGTTGACTTGAGAAAACCAAAACCACAACAATCGTCTCTCCATTTGGCAACCTTTTTATAAATTTTTGTTTACAACACCAAAAACAAAAACAATAACCTCTTTCTTTTCATCCTACAAACAACAAAGTATTTTGTATCATCTTTTATTATATTGTAATATTTTTTAGTTTAATAATGTTCGTAAATAAGTTTAGTATCAATTATTCATGATTTATCATTGTTATGTTTAAATAGTTATTAAATTTGTGTAAATTAGCAAGCTTTTGTTTTTCATTCTTTCTTTTTTTTTTTTTTTAATTTTTAAATGTTTAAATTCATTTGGTTTTCGTACTTGACATCAACCTTAAAAAAAGGCAATGTATCAAACATTTTTGATATAATGAGGTGGTTTAGAAGGACGAAATCCAAAATTTTAATTTTACAAATTCATCTTCTTCTTCAATTCATCTCTAATCTCTAACCACAAATCTCCATTTATTTTTCATCTCCAATATCCATCTCCAACTTTTATCTCCAATCTCCATTTTTTTCATCTCTATTCTTTTCCCATCTCGAATCTCTAACCTCCATTTTTTCCTTTTCAACCTCTATTTTTTCTTCATCTCCAACCTCTATTTTTTCATCTTCAATCTACAATCTCCATATTCAACCTCCATCTCCAACCTATATCTCTAACCTCCATCTTCAACTTCCATCTTCAACCTCTAACCTTTATTCCAACCTCAATCTTTAACCTCCATCTCCAATTTCCAACCTATTCAACCTCCATCTCAAACCTCTATCTCCAACCTCCAACTCCAACCTCCAAACTCCAACCTTTATCTCCAACCGACATCTCCAACTTTAACCTACAACCTTCATCTTCAACCTCCATCTCCAACCTCCAAACTCTTACCTCTATCTCCAACCTCCATTTTCAACATCTAACATTTATCTTCAACCTACATCTCCAACCTCCATCTTCAACCTCTAACCTCTATCTTCAGCCTCCATCTTGAACCTTCATCTCCAACCTCTAACCTCTATCTCCAACCTTCATCTTCAACCTACATCTCTAACCTACAACCTCTATCTCCAACCTCCATCTTTAAACTCTAACATCTATCTTCAACCTCCATCTCCACCCTCCAACCTCCAACATTTATCTCGAACCTCTATCTTCAACCTTCATCTTCAACCTCTAACTCTACCTCCAACCTATATCTTTAACCTTCATCTTTAACCTCCAACCTTTATCTCCAACCTCCATCTCAACCTCTAACCTCTATATTTAACCTCCATCTTTAACCTCCAACTTCCAACCTCTATCTCTAACCCTCCATCTTCAACCTTCATCTCCAACCTCCAACCTTCAACCTTTATCTCCAACCTCCAACCTCCAACCTTTATCTTCAACCTCCATCTCCAACCTCTATCTCCAACCCCCCATCTTCAACCTCCACATTCAACCTCCATCTCCAACCCTTCATCTTCAACCTCCATATCCAACCTCCAAAATTTATCTTTAACATCCACCTCCATTCTCTAACCTCTATCTCCAAACCTCATCTTTAACCTCCATTTCCAACCTCCAACCTCTATCTCCAACCTCCATCTTCAACCTCTAACATTTATCTCCAATCTACATCTTTAACCTTCATCTCTAACCTTCAACCTCTATCTCCAACCTTCATCTTCAACCTCCATTTCCAACCTTCATCTTCAACCTCCAACCCTTCATCTTCAACCTCCATCTCCAACTTCCATCTTTAACCTCCATCTCCAACCTCCAACCTATATCTCCAACTGTTGTACGTATTTTCAACACAAGTATTTATATTATCGTTTTTCTCAGGGATTGGCATGATATTACTATCATTCTACAATTATAATCGTTTTAAGCTTAAGTTTCATAAAAGGGTTTGATGTTGGTTTTAGTAACGGAAAAATGTCGATTTCATGCAAAATATCAAGTATAAGGAAAAACAAAGTTTCGGTTTCAAATCTTTGGTAAAAGTGTGTCAAGATTAGAGCTCGATAATCTCTTTCGGACGTATTTTATCAATCAAGTATGTGAACTCATTAATCATAAATATAATCACATATCATCTCAAGATGTTTCATCTCTAAAACAAAATGTGAGTTTTATCAAATTGATCTTTAGATGATCTCTCTACCTAACTATCAATTTGATAACTTTAAAAGCTCAATATTAGTGAATATCAACTCACAACACTATGTCTAGAAATTGTTCATTGATAAGTGAAAACCTAGATCAAGAGATGAACACACTTCTCAATAATGATCAACTCAAATATAAACCATAAAACAAGAATATTCACCATATATTTATCACCAACATGTTCACATACAAATGATCAAGCTAAATACATGCAAAAAGGAAGATTATCTACCTCTAATCTTGATACAAAGAAGGATTTAGCTACCCATCACCATGGTAGTTTTATCAACAAGGAAAGTATGAAGCTTGATGAACATCAACTAGAAAATATCAAAGATTTGAGGTAGAAATCTTTGGTCTTGAGTTACAAAATGATAAAAATTGTTTCTTAGCCCTAAAAATTTGATTTGTATATGTTGTACAAGAGTTGGTGGCTAAAATATCACAAAGGTGGCTATTTATACAAGTGCTAAAAAGTGAGTCCCGCTAAGCGGTCAGGGCGTGCTAAGCGGGCTCAACGCAAATATCAATTTTTTTGTTTCAGTGGACCGTGCTAAGCGGGACCAAAAAAACACCCATTCTGCCAAATGCGCAAAACACAAAGTGCGCTGCAACTTGCGCTTAGCACGATAACGTGAGAGAAATTTCCATTTTTGACTTGTTGCACCACACTCTTGGCTCTAGCTTGAACAAAATTCCAATGCTCCAACATCAAAACCTACAAAATGAGCATAAAACTAAGTAAACAAAGTGATGTATCTCAAAAACTATATAATTGCTTATTTACATCTATTTACAAACTTAAACACTAATAATTATCAAAAATAGAGTTCCAAGAACACAAAATTATCTACAAGTATATCAACAAACACACAAACACAGACAGAACAGAAATTAAAAGAAGAAGAAAATTCAACTTCCAGCAGGCCGCGCTAAGCGGGATTGTGGCCGCTTAGCGCGCCTGCAAAAACCTGGCGATCCTTCTGTTTCTGTCATGACAAAACCCATCCAAACATACAAACCCACTCCCAAAACATCTCCCTATCACATTAGGACACTAATTAATCCAAGATAAACTTCAAAACATTAAAGAACATCAACTACCTAACCCTAACATCTCAAAATTCTAATCTAAATATGTACAATTCATGGTTTCTAACCTAAAGTTAAACAACAAAAAATATTCACATGTAACCCTTAATTCTTGATAAAACAGTAATTGATTAAGATTAGAACTTACCTTGATGGATTGGAAAGAGATAAGAGAAGAGATTTCACACAAGGAAAGGAATTGCAGCTTGAAATCTTGAAGAATGGTGGAAAAACTTGAGAGAGAGAGAGAGAGAGAGAGAGAGAGAGAGAGAGAGAGAGAACACTATGACAAGGGTTTGAAAATATGAAGAAAATGATCAATTTTTCCCTAGCTGCGCTATGAGGGTGCTACTGGGCCTTGGTACTGGGTCAGGCCCCACTGGCCCATGCTATTTTTTTGTACAAAAACGATTGCGCTAAGCGCGTCTCAGGCCGCTTAGCGGGCTCAGAAAATCTGCTAAAAACAGAACAGATAGTAGGTTTTGTTCTGTTTTATCGGAACCACAGCATCCTAACAATACTAACATGGAAAAAGATAAAATTACTTACAAAGTTGGGGTGCCTCCCAAAGAGCGCTTTGTTTAACGTCGTTAGAGCTCGACGATCTACGGTGATTTCATAAATCACCGAGATGGACCATGCTAGTTTCTCGAATTACCTCGCCTCCAAGGTAGACTTTCAACTGTTGTCTATTCACAGTCCAAACTTCCTTTGAGATGGGATCCTCCAACATAATTGCTCTATAATCTTTCACATCTTTGATCACGAACGAACCCGACCATTTGGACTTCAACTTTCCAGGAAAAAGTTTTAACTGCGAATTGAAAAGAAGCACCATTTGGCCAACTTTGAAGTCTTTGTGACGGATTTTCTTGTGATGATAAATTTTGACTTTTTCTTTATACAACTTGTTGGAGTGATACGCATCATTTCTCAATTCATCAAGACCCTGCAATTGAATTTTTATTTTTTCTCTGTCCAAGTTAGAATCAAAGTTTAAGAGTTTTAATGCCCACAGAGCCTTGTGCTCAATTTCTACCTGAAGATGATAAGTTTTGCCATACATCATTTGAAACGGTGTCAAACCAATAGGAGCTTTGTAAGCGGTGCGATACACCCACAAAGCATCATCAAGCTTAAGTAACCAATCCTTCCGTGAACTTGACACAGTCTTTTCCAAAATCCTCTTAACCTCTCTATTTGAAACTTCGGCTTGTCCATTAGCTTGTGGATGGTACGGAGTCGCCACTTTATGCTTTACACCATAGTTTTCCAAAACTTTTTCAAGAGGTGTATTACAAAAGTATGATCCACCATCACTAATTAAAACGTGCAGAGTGCCAAAACAGAAAAAAAAATTCTTTAGAAATTTAGTAACCGTTTTTTTGTCCGCCCTAGGATAAGTCATCGCTTCTACCCACTTAGAAACGTAATCCACCGCAACAAGGATAAATTCATTCTAAAATTATGGGGGAAAAGGTCCTACAAAATCTATACCCCAACAATCAAAAACCTCTATTTCCAACATACTATTCAAAGGA